TGAATGAAATGAGCCGCGTGTTGGGCTGAATGATATGAGCCGCGTGTTGGGCTGAATGATATACAAAAAAAAGCTCAAATGTTTGCGTGAAAAGTTATGTGACAAGTCATGCTTGTAGACAAAATTAGTAAAATGTCATGTTAGTAGAGAAATGTAATAGAATGCTTATTTGGCAAGAAAATGAAATGGAATGTTAGGTTGATACGTCATGTTGGTACAGAAATGTTATGGAATGCTTATTTGGTAAGAAATGTAATGATTGAGAAAATTGTCCTTGAAAATGAATTGAAAAATTGCTTTTGAAAATAAGTTGACAAATTGCCTTTTATAGAAATGCTTTTGGAAACGTCATGAAGGAGTTTGAAGATGGATTGACCTTATGATCTTGAGATGCAGATTTATTGGAAAAAGAATTTACCTTGGGTTTGAAATTGCCCCTCAATTTGAAGTTTGTATTGCATGCTCGCATCTATAATTGACTCAATCATATCACCAACAATGGCTAGATTTTCTGAATACATCATATGCCAACTGCTCAAAATGATCATGCATGACAACAATTAAGTTCACTCCCTTAGGATTCTTGTTGCTTTGACTCCATGTGAGTTGTCTCTACTTTCTTTATAAGTAGCATGAATAAAACAAAAGCCTTTTTTTTTTTTTATGAGGATAAGATGATAAGAACAAAGAGAGATGGAATTGATAGGTATGAATGGATGACATGATTAAGATGAAAGGTATGATGAAAGGTATGGGATTCTTCAAAAAAGATGAAAGATTTGAAATTCTTGACAGAGAAGAAGAATCTTTTCCTTGCTATCTCAACAAATTATAATCATTTCTTTCATAAAATATAAAGATGATATCTTTAACTCATGGATCATTGAATCATTTAAATGGCTTAGCTTCAAATTTCTCAATTTTTGCCCCCAGCTTTTTAAGGCAATCATATATTTTTATCACTCAAACCACATTGGAATTTCAAAAGCTTTTAGATCCCTTGATAAGGACTTTCTTCAGCTTGTAATGTGGTCATTGGCTTGGTTAATTTGAAAGAAAGGATATTAAGCTCAAAATGCCGCCCATGCTATGTTCGACCTAGTGATTGTAATCATCAAAACATCTAAAGTTTCAAAACCTTCAAAAAAGGATTTTTGCTTTGGGTTGTAACATGGTTTGAGGTATGGCTATTGAAAGAATGGTCGTTAAAGCTCAAATTCCCAATTTGCCCCCAAGTTACATGCCTTTGCTAAAAGCTTCACTTATTTTGAACTCTCTCTCTCTCTTTTTCTTTTTTCTTTCTTTTTTTTTTTTGGGTAATTAGAAAAAAAAAAAAAAAAAGTGGTTAATTT